GGCGGATGTACTAGTGCTTTGTTTGGCATTGCATGTGCAGTGCCTCCCACCTCATCACCTTCTTTCATGGGCATATTGGGAGATAACATGTTGGCTAACCTTAGCTGGTGAGGTGCTGAGGAAAGACTAACCTCTCCCAATCCCTTCTGTTCAAGATGCCTGTTGAAGGCAAATGCATTACACCCCACTGGGGTCTTGGAAGAGGCCTGTAATAGAGCTGCAGTAGGAATGGGGCCCCTGGCAGCCATAGGCATTTGGTAAAACTGCTGTCTGTGTGAGGTACCAGCGTCAGGGTGGAAGCCGCCATTCTTGTCAACATGAAATAGGTTCTGCTGGAAGCTACACGAGGGGAGCAGTCTCTTTTGCTGTTTGACCTCAGGGCTGTGAACAATTCTGTTCTGCATGGAGTGCTTGTTTAGCCATTCTTGCTTAAATGTCTGGCTGTGTCCCAGCTGACTCATGCCAGAATTGATGACACAAGGCACCCCTTTAACATCTGGCTCCACCAACAATTTTCCTGGTTCACATTTAACTTGAGTGTGTTCTCCTACAGTCCTAGCTACTCTCTTTTTGGGGTGGTTTTCTCGCTTTCTCATTTGGAGTGGTGCAAGAGTCCCTGCCAAGTAGCCCTTACCATCTGCATTTGGAGAGCTGGGCGGAATTTCAACGTTTCTCTCTGGCGCTGTTTTACCCACTGAGGTAGTTTGAAGAGGCAACGGAAGCCTGTTGATTTCAAGCTTGGCTCCCAATCTGGGTTGCGGCAACACTTTTTCCAAAGGCAGGTTGCCCTGTAGTAACTGCGTCACCAGCGGGTTGTTAGCTTCCACAGAGGACAGACGACAGCTTGAGCTCCCTGCACCAGGGACTCTTTTCAGGGTGTCGGTAGCCAAGGAAATAGCCTCTTCCATGGGGCTCGAGGTGGAAGCTTTCACGTTCTGTGTTTGTTGTACACTAGAGGCTACCTCTGCAGCTGGAGGAGGCAGCTCAGGGCCGGGGAAGTCTTCAGTGTCCATTCTAAAGCCCTTGTCTGCTTCATGAAGTTCAGATTTCACAGGAAGAGCGACATTTGTTATGAGATTCCTGGGATGAAGTTCGGACACGTTCAAGTAGCTGGCATGTTCAGTTTTGATAGCCTTTGGACAATTTTGCTCTAGATATTCTTTTTGTTTACTTGAACCCGAGTGAGTAACCAAAGGCTGTCCTGTGCTCCTCATCCCATCATCACTCCAGCAAATCCGGTTACTTGGGTTATACTGATTGCTACAGGTTGTGTCTGCCTCACTTTTGAACGTAGCTGGGCCACGTGCCTGCTCAGCAAAGTTATGACTGGGAGCAGTCGGCTCATTTAATTTATCTGGAACAAGGGGTAATTCTCGGAGACTTGTGCAGGTGGCCTGCAATATTTTACACTCTTGTTTTGCTGCCGAAGCAGCAATGAAAGTGGAACTGTGATCTACACCTTCACTGGCAATTGGCTCAGGCCTGCTAATCACAGAGACCTGAGGACACGCCATGGGCTGTACGGATGCCTCTGTCCTCACTGGCCTGCCCTGCAGGTCCAAGTTGGCTTCTGAACTTTCAACGGAGACAGTCAGAGACAAACTGGAGGTCAGCGTGGTGCTGTGGTCAACGATGACTTTACACGGAATTGATCGGTTTATGGCTGCTGGTGCAAAGCCCCCTTGTGGTTGCTGAGGTTTTCCAGAATTATCTGCCCTGTTTCGAGGCCCTGAATTTTTGTCCAGGCTTTCAGCACTTAACTTGGGAGGACTATCATAAGAGTTTATGGTCAGCATGTTTCCACTAAACATTGCAACGGCTGAGTGTGCAACCAGAGAGTCTGTGACCGCTACGGAATCACTGCAGCTGAAGGCTGCTCTCACAGTGGTACCCATGGATACAGTGGCCTGTTCTTCACTCCCAGGTATGGCTATCTTCTCAGGAGGAAATCTGTTGTTAATTCCCGTCGGGGGAATCAAGACAGAGCTAGCGGAGAGGTGGTTTGGCAAATTGTTTCCGATGGAGGGAGTTGGCACAGAGGTGTACTGAGTGGAGACTAAGTTACTAGCACTGCTGCTTGATATTAGTAACTGCTTATCATCCATGGAGCTTGATATGCTGGAGCCCTCTGTAGTGGCTGAAATGGGAGTGCTTTCAATACATTTTGGTATAATGGCTATGCATGGAGCGTCAGTTCCCTGGATGGTTTTTAACATGCTTATATTACAAGCAGAAATTGTAGTGTTTGCACTGTCAACAGACATTAGGACAGAGGATTTATCAACAGAACTCACAAAGGGATGTTCTTTAATTGCTCCCGATATAGCAGTGCTGCAAACAGATACAGGGACAGAATTTTTATTAAAAAGCATGGGCACACTGCTATTTTCAGAAGAGGTAGATGAAACAATTTTCTCAGATAAATGTGACACAGGTATGTTTTCATCAGAACTATGCACAGATAAGTCAGTGGCAGTTTCTGGAAGTTGACTTGGGTTAAGAGACTGCTGTAGTACAGTGGTGGTCTCCCGGAGGTGGGCAGACTTGTTGCTAGGAGATCTACAGTTTGGATTGACAATAATGACACCAGTCGAACCTTCCATTTTTGTTTCAGGGGTAGAAGAGACTTCTAAGTTTGGAGCCCCTTCCTTTGAGCTGAGCGGAGGCAACCGGGTCTCTTTAGAGGTCTGGAAGAGATGGGCTCGAGCTTGATGCTTTGCAAAGAGCTTAGCCTTTGTCTGTTCTTTGATGTGTGCCAGGGTTCTCGCCTTTCCACCCTCTCCTGGGCTTCCCATGGCTCCAGAGACAATGCTCGCTGCAGCAGCTACGGCAGCAGCTGCAGCAGCCTCTCGCTGGGCCCGAGCTTGTTGGGCCCGGGCCTTGATATCTGCGAGGGTCCTGGCTCCTGTGTTCCTCCCGCCACTGACGGATGTGCTAGTGGATGCTCGAGACTCGGGTTTGGAGACTGGTTGGCTCTTGATTATAAAAGGTGGCCCAATTTTGGAAAGCTGAATCTAAAAGGAGAGAAAAAAAATATATAATGTGCTTCATATATGATCACAGAGGAGGCACGTAGAATGTGATAATGCAAGGGAAAAGATAATCTCAAAATGTGCCATGAACTACACCTAAATCCCTGGATGTGCCTTTAGGGTATAAAGCAACAAGAAATGTAGCATGAATATAAAAAATTAAGTTTTTAATCTGTTTTTAATCTACAAAAACATCCATTGTAACTTCATTTGGAATGGAAATGAAGCATCTTCTTAATGTGTCATATAAATGGATACAAAATTCATGCTTCTAGAATTACAGTAGGCTAAAAAGACTTCAAGATATTTAATTTTGAAATTATCTTTTTTAGTGGCATAAAAAACTGGAACTTCAACTCTATTTGTCTGTCTTAATTTGACCCAAAGAAAAAAGCCGTGACTGAGATACAATTAGAATTCTCATTTTGACTTTACACAAAGGAACTGTGATCCTAGGCTAATCACTGTGTACCTCAGTTTCTCCAATAACCTCTCTGAGCCAAGAACTCTATGATTTTTCCTTTTTTTAAAATTATATTTTATGGTCTAGGGTACATGTGCACAACGTGCAGGTTTGTTACATATGTATACATGTGCCATGTTGTATGATTTTTATGCACTCCCATGCTACCCTGCATGCTGCTTTATACATGTATGATAAGAACACAAGAGAAGTTTGTCAACTCAGTTGTAAAATGAGACTAGTTATTTCTGGTCTATTTCCTTCAAAGAGCTGTTTTAAAGATGGAATGAGACTACATTTGTCAGAGTGTTCTGTTTTCCAAAGGGATTGTATTATCATTACATTTGCATAAAAGCAAGGGAAACTCTGATTTTCTGCCTCTAAAGAATTTATGCATTGGGCAGTTTCTTTTGATATTGGTAATCCACAATCTGCTGAATTTTGTAAACGTCCCAACCCATACTGTTTACCAATTCTTGGTAATTACGAGACTCACAGATTCATCACCAAATTCATGAGGCACAAGGTCTAACAGCCAGCATTCCATAGCAAGGCTGTGTTGCTCTAGTCACTAAAAGCATTCTTAGACATGGCTGTGTAGAGCTGGAAAGACTCTAGTTGACATCCCTCATTTCACAGTTCAGGAAACTGAGGCTGTGCAGGTAAAGCAGTTTGTCCTGCGGTCATATAACCAGTGAGTGACTACAGCCTTTGGGCTTCCCATTCGGTGCTATTTCCATGTATTCTGTTTCCCTTTTTTCCAGATTATACATATCAATTTAGAATTATGCTTTGGAACTTTGATAGATGAAATTGTCATCCTGAGCTATCTTGTTTCTCATTTTCCTTTTTTTTTTTAAAATTATACTTTAAGTTCTAGGGTACATATGCACAACGTGCAGGTTTGTTACATATGTATACTTGTGCCATGTTGGTGTGCTGCATCCATTTGTTTCTCATTTTCAAACTGCTTGTGAAGTCTCTCTTCTATTCCAAAGGCCAAGAAAAGAAAGGATAATTTTGGGGAGAAGATTCAATTTGCTCTTTTAATATTTTTCCTAGTGTAAAAAATTAAACATATTTTAAATAATTAAACTTAAATATCCTTAAAAAAAGAGCTCTTAAGACCAAACATCAAATATTCTTGTAGTATTTACCTTTTCTTCACAGTGCTTAATTTATTAACTATGTGCTCAATAATATGGCAAGATGGTAACATCTGGCAAGATTCTGACATATCACAACCAGGATACTGACATTGATACAATTAAGATACAGAACATTTCCATGACTACAAATTTCCCTCATGTTGTTATCTATCTATCTATCTATCTATCTATCTATCTATCTATCTATCTATCTTTCTTTCTTTACATAAAGTCCATATGACTTTGAAAATTAGCTTTTGACAGACTGGCATGTTTAAAAATATCTCCTATGAAAAGTTGCTATTATTATTTCTATTGCTTCAGAAATTAAAATGCATAGTGAGTTTTTAATTGAACTTAATGCTCATCTTTTACACCTCTAGAATCTTGCTTACTAGAGATTGCTTTATTAAAAAGAGTAAGTACAACCATACTTTTAAAGTCAGCCTGTGGAGAACACGAGTCATATATAAAATGAAAATTTCATAGATTTTATATCTACAGATAGAGCATATTTTTTTATTCAAGAAGCTTGAGATGTTTATAATTCTAGACCAATGCTATGATGGAATAATCCACTTTACAGTACAACAGTATAAATGCACTTAGATAAAAGCATCAAGTCAGTATAAATGACAGAGGGTAGAAACTCAAAAAAAAATTACACTGGGTTTATGCCGTAAGTTCTCTCAAGAACGTTCATAGGACGCTACGTTATCTTTCACATGTTCCCAGGTTCCCACAGGTCTCTGCCCTACACCGGGAAATCCCCATAAACCCAGGGGTCTCAGTGGCCTGGAGACATTTCCAGCCCTATTCTCTTTCTTTAATTCGCTTTTCTTTAATGCTGGGTCTAAACATATGCACGTATCTAAACTGCTTTTATGAATTCAACACAAGGTCATAAAGAAGATCATTTACTATTAGAGGATGATATTATAAATTGCTGCATAAAACCTAGAAGGAAGAAAATCTAATTATTCTTGAAAAATTAGGCTTCTAAATAGGAAAAGCCTATCTACGGAATTGTCTTTTGTTTAATACCATACCTTGAGAGGGGGAACCCTTGGTTCCTCTCTTGGAGGCTGTTCTTTCTCAGATGGGCTGCTAGATGATATGTTCCGGGTTGACTGATCATCTTCTATCCTAGCTCTCTTTTCCTTACAGATTCCAAAGCTGTGCTGCTCTGCAGTTTTCCTCTTTGAGATCTCTGAATCTCTACTTTCATTTCTCATCCCATCAGGTGACTTGGAGGGCTCTGAGGACTTGGAAGTATGTGAGGTTTCTAACCGACTCTGTGTACTCCCTTGCTTATGTGTCTTATTTCTAGAGCCTTCTGAAAATGAAGTCTTATCCACTGATGAGATATACTGCTTGTCCTGTAATTTAGCAGATGGAAGCTCATTTCCCTTATTCTCTGTCTCTTCAGAAAAGACAGATAATTCCAATGGTGAAGATAACACTTTTTTTTCTGTTCTTTGCAGGACGCTATGATTTTTAACTTTTATCATTTCCGCAGAAGCAAGTTCTGGAATCGAAGCAGGGTAGGGCTTCTCAGTGTCAACATGGGATTTACAAGTTTGCTGACTCAGGGTTTTATTGTGCAAATCTTCAGACGGAAACGCTTCAGGAGTAATGGAAGAAGAACTCATTATGATGGGTTCTGGAGTATTAGATAGATTCTTCTGCTGTGAGGTAAGGTTCTCTCCCACAGGTTTGGCAGCGGCGGAAGACTCATCTTTCTGCGGGGAGAGCGGTTCTTCAGATACAGAAGGTGACTTTCTTTGCTGATGTGCCATTCTCTCATTTATGGAAGAGTTAGAAATTGGAGACGCTTCTGAAGGAAGTGGCAAACTGGATACAAAAGTGGTCTCAGAGGTGAGAAGCATGGAAGACACTGAAGAAGTTTCTGATGTTAAAGGTAAGTCGGACATCGGTGAGGTTTCTGATGTTAAAGGTAAGTTGGATATTGGTGATGCTTCAGATGTTAATGGTAAATTGGACATAAGAGATGCTTCTGATAGTTCAGGTGAAGTGGATATTGGAGAGATTTCTGACATCAAAGATGCATGAAGGTTTTCATCAGTGGAATTTCTCTGGTTGTATTTGTCTGTATTTTCAGTGCTAGACACCTCAGAACAAAATGTTGTCTCAAAGGAGGCTGGAGTACATGATTCTTCTGATGTGGACTGTGTTTCCCCTCCTGGGGAAGGCAGGCTGGTACAGGCTCCCTCTGGGCTCTCCGAAGAAAAGGACGTTTCAGAGATGCAGGCATTTTCTGAAAGCTGTTCTTCAGGGTCACTCTGTAGCTCCATATCTACAGAAATTCCTTCATTTGGAAACCGGCCTTCTAGAGAAGATGACCCTGTTTTTATTTTGGGGGTACTGGTCTCTATCGCAGTTTCTGACTCCTTATGTTCTGTGTCACTGACATGAGTCACAGATGAAGTGGAAGGAACAAGAGAATCACAGACTTCTAACTGATCGATAACAACTGTCATTTCTTCCTGGGGTGATTCTGACTTCTCTTCTATCTTAATTTCAATATGAGGCAAAGTTTCTAAAACATCATTCATCATAACACAGGACTCCAAGTTATCTTCAGGAGGTGCTGTTTGGGGTTCTTCATGAGAATTGGTTGGACTTTCAGACTCCTCAGAAAATTCAGGTATTGTCTTATGATTTTCATCCTGGCATTCACAGATACTAGTCTCTACCTCTTCTGTAATTTCCTCCTGAATTACAGATTCTTCAGGGATCAAGATATCCTCTGACTCCGATTCTGCCATTATATCTTTAGCTGGAATTTCTACCATAGGGCAAAGAGTAGCACAGAAACCAGGCTCTGGAGAAGCTGGGCTTTTCATGCTTTTTGACTGTTGTTCTGCCAAGGGTGTCTGTGCAGAAACTGGAAGGCCAGAAGTCCCACATGAAGAACTACTCTGAGCTCCGGCATTGTTTGGTCCAGTAGTGAGCTTCACAGATTCCTCTCTTGACATGCCCAGCCTGTACAGAAATTAGAGATAAGAAATTATTGCTCAACCACAAAACATGAAAGGTACAACTGGGATCTCTCAGGAATGCAGTATTCAATAGAAGTGCATCAAATTACATTTATAATCACTAACATGCTTAATTTATGTAAACCAGTTTATAATGATGATGTTTCTTTGCTGCTTTTATAATCTCAACTAATACTCTGCTTCTGGTTAAGAGCAGTGCAGATTTTTATTTTGTAAAGCAAGGAGATATGAACCTTATCAAGTGTTAGTAAAGGAATAAGAAAATTACATACAACAAAGTATTAGAAAATATTTATAATCACTAACATGCTTAATTTATGTAAACCAGTTTATAATGATGATACTTCTTTGCTGCTTTTATAATCTCAACTAAAACTCTACTTCTGGTTAAGAACAGTCCAGATTTTTATTTTGTAAAATAAGGAGATATGAGGCTTACCAAGTGTTAATAAAGGAATAAGAAAATTACACACAACAAAGTATTAGAAAATATGAGCAGAAAAGCAAAATAACATATAGGATATATATTTTTTAAATACAGAAGTAGAAAGATGCTCTTATAATAGGAAATTATATAGTTTTTGGAGGATACAAGAGAACCAAGAAATTAAGATCAATGGAAGATGAATGAAATTCACCAAATTCTGAAATTGAAATGAGTTCCAAAGATTGGTTTTCTTAAACTAATCTAAGAAGTATTACTCAATCATCTTATTTTGGCATCTAACTGTCTAACCTAAGACAACATGGACATTTCGTTAAAGAATAACAGAACATATTTGGGGTTATCAAAGTTATTCTATCAGCTTACATTTGTGTGAAGCAAGACTTTTAAATTCTTTCATGCAGATCTCTTACTGTGAAGATATTCCATACATGACAGGTACCGAAAAATCAAGAAATAATTGAGCATGATGTTCAGGTCTTAAGGCAAATCTAAACAGAGTTACAGTCAAGGGTACTGTAAATCACTGTTTTCTGTCATATAATTTACATTGTCAGCATCACATGGTAGAGAAACATGCTGCTCTAAATGAAGTTAAATTGGGGTACAGGCAATGAGAAAGATAAGCAGGAGAGAGAACATTTCCAGAGGAAAAAGCACATTTAAGTGAAGAAATATAGTCATAGTAACATTGATGCAAACAACACCTCAGTGAAAACCACTTTAACCTTTGCTTTTTAAAAATCCTCAATGTGAAAGGGAAATAACGTTGAATACAGTTTTTGGGTATTTGGCCATTGCCTTCTTTATTTAAATTCAGAAATCTCTGAAAAGGTAGAAAATACTGCCTTCATAAATATTCTCTTTCCTTTCAATGTTCTCTAAGATGAATTCAAACTAAGCTACAATTTATAACTATACTATATACTGAGAAGATCAGAAAAACAACATTACGGATAAATTTAAAGCAGAATAATCTTCAAGAAATAAGGTTCCCTGGGACTAGGTCAAGCAGAGGTACCATTGATACTAGAATAAGTACGTAACATACAGAAATCTATCCACTGGCAGCCAAATTTCTGCTAGGTGGTTAATAATATTATTAAACATGCAGATAGGTAAGTTTATATACACAACAGCACTGTATAAAATATGCCCATGTCAACATTTTCTTATTTTCACAGAAAAACAGATTTAAGATTGCATAAGGCATAGGAGGAGGAAGATATTCACAGTTCCTCATACTACGCAAAGGAAAACCCTGGCCTCCAGAAATCTAGACACAAATTCACAAGCCAAGCCCTGTAATACTTAGCATTTATACAAATGATGTAAAACAAATATAGAATAATACTATATTATAAAGAAATTAGGCAAGTGAGAATCATAATAAATACCTAAAAAAATTGAAAACTAAGACAGATCTTAACTGGACACTAGTATAAATGTTTAGACACATTTTTGAAAAAAAAACTTAGAGCAATGAAAAGGCACATGGTGTCAGTCAACTACAAACTGTCTGGTGCTAGGGGAATAAAGGTAACCTGGGAGCAACAAAATGAGAAGGGTAGTCAATGAACTATTCAAAATATATCTGCATGCAATATGTAATGAAAGACAGAAAAGATCAAGAGACAAGTCCAGTGATGTGAGAGGACAAAAGCTACTGATAAACTACAGCAAAAAAAAAAAAAAAAAAAAAAGGCTAAGTAGAAGTATGTTTTGTATTCAGAGCTTAATGACAGCAAGAGCTCAATTGTTAATGTTTATTAACAATATAGGCCCTAGATCTGGTATCTAAGGGAATCTGGAAAGCCTCTAAATTTCATGCAAAAAATATGCCTGTGCGTGAATTTTTCTGAGAAGGATTTGCAGGATTAAGACCCCAAGCAAGTTACGTAACCTCACTGTTATAAACCTGGGAAAATTACTTAGCTTCACTTTCCCTCAGCTTCCTAATTAAAAAAAATTATGAATAATGGTATCCATCTTATGAAATTGTTGGGAGGATTAAGTGAAACATTTGCAAAGCTCTTAGAAGCATATCAGAGCCAGTGTATACTCAATGATTATTTGTTACATGAAAGAAAGTTCTCTGTAATGTAAGTCCCTTGAACTGAGGTTCTCTGGGAGTAGAGCTTAGGTGGTCCTACAAACAACTGCGTCCCTGGCATCCAGGAGAGTGTCTGGCACAGAGGAGATGTTAGATAAATACATTAATTTAATAAAAGAATGGATCTATCACTAAAAATTAAGAACCAATGCTTTGGAGGTACTATCTCAGTTAGGCTTCTGCCATTACTAAAAAGAGCGCTCCCAGCATTTTCTTTCACAGGCAAAAGGAGAGGGAAGAAGGCTCCTAAGTGGTCTTTAATCTTATCCTCCAGGGTTCTTAATCCTGCTGGGCAACAGCATGACTCCTGGCAAGTTTCTAAAACACAGACTCCTGGGCACAACTCCTAGATTTTGATTTAGCCAGGCTTGAGTGATATTGCTGGTGACTTCATGTGAAGACATATAACTAGCTTGTCACATTTTTAATGTTTGAGAAAAGACATTAATTATCTTTATTTGGTTTTGCTTAATATATATGTGTGTATATATACATATATATAAAAATATATACATATATAGTATATAAATAAATACACACACACACACACACACACACACAGAAATCCTGGCACAGCAATTAAAAACAGGCCTTCCTACTCAAGAGGACTACAGAGTGCCATTTAGGACAATTCATGAAGGCCAGCATACTCTGAGCACCCTACTCCAAGTGGTCTGTTAAGTATCTAATTTCTTTACATGAAGAGCTCTCACGTGAGACTCCTTCTGGCATGTCTGTCTTTCCCCCATTTACAGGTGTAATTGTGTGAAATGAGATCACATGACATAGATCTTGTTACCTGCAACCACCTGTGTCCTTTACACAAAATAACAACTTTCAAGCATTGATTTGTATGTGGGAGGTGGAGCGTGAGTTCCTCTAAGGGGGCTCTGAAGTGACCGTCAATAGTAAGTTCTTAAACCCCTCCTTTTTTAGGGATCTGATTTTCTGAGACACTAATATTGCCAAAGCAGAATGTGTCTCTGCTAAACATGAGGCAAAGGTGAAACTGCTCTCAGGGTTAGTTTATCTGCTACCACACTATGATGTAAAGGCTCGTGTTACTTAAAAAAAAAGCTCACACACACACATAAATTAAACACAGATTACATTTGAAGAGGAAGATAAAGCAAAAGATAATATCTCAGGCTCTCCCCAAAACAAGGACTAAACAAAGATTAAAATGCATTAGGCACAGTCAATATTTTCAGAAAAATGTGAGAATTAAACACGTGCCTAAAATTACTTATCTATAAAGCATTAATCCATGAACATACTTGAAAACAGGAGAATTTTACTCAAATCTGTTAAGAAATTCAAGTGACTTCTTTAAGATTTCATGTGCTACTTTCAGACCGAAATAAAATTTCATGAACAAGTTATAAACCCTTGAAAATGCATTTTTTAAAAATTTAAGTGCTGATATACCACTATAATTTCATCTGCAATTTCTTACACTGAGGGACTATTGCCTTTTATCATAGGTTTATTAAGTTTTACAGCATATGAGTGTGCTATGTGAAGCAGAGAATTACATTTTCATTCCCTTCTCAGAGAAATGAGAAAAAATACTCTAGTACTTACTTTTCTCCATAAAACCTCTCAAAGAATTTTTCTTTCCAAGGTTCTGTTTTCTTTTCCTTCTCAATTTCTTGCCTTATCCGCAATTGCATTTCTGGGGTAAACTCTCCTAAAAAGAAAATGCTAATGTATTGAGTAAATGTGGTCACATCTTTTGCCAATTAATAAAGAAAACATATAATTCATCTGAGTAAACTGTTACGGATCTTGAAAAGCACTAGGACAAATAATGATAACATTTCTACAGCTTCCCTTTTTATGAACATCACTCAAGATGTTCATAAAAATGCTAAAGCTAAATGCTTTAGAAGAACGCTAAAGAATGTAGCAAATGTATTACATGCTAGGGGCTACAAATAAAAGAGAGTATATTCACCGTCCTTAAGGAAATCAGTCTGCTGGAAATAGACTATACTATAATGTATAAAGCCCCGTATAGGCCATAATAATAAATGTAGTGAAATATAGAAAGTAAAGCGCTTAATTCTGCCTACGTTGATTAAGGAGGACCACATATAGGAGCTGATTCTTGAGTTAAATTTTGAAGGTTACTCAGGCTTTTATAAAGTAATTAAATCACAAGGCCAGAGGTATGAATCCATATATTTATGATCTTTTGAGTGGCCAATTGTGAGTAAAACATATGAAGAAATAAAATGGGAAATAAAAGCTGAGGTCAGTTACCCAATACATGTTCTAAAGAATGTTCTTCACTTTTCTATGAGAGACAGGGGGAGGTTCTGGTGGCATTCAGTGTAGAAGGAACATGGCCAAATAAGCTGTCTAGAAAAACAGGTCTGACAACAGGGTGAAGAACTGGAGGACTGCAGCTATAGGGCTACTGAATAGCACACAGGAGAGGTGGAGATACCGTTGGGCCAGTAGCAGCAGGAATGTTGAAGAGGAATCAAGTACAATCAAGTAACAGTTCATGACCAGATAGGCATGGAGAAAAGGAAGAGGATCAAAGACATCGGTAAGGTTTCAAACTGAGGAACTATGAGGACAGTTGTGACATTATAGAAATACAGGAAACAGAAGAAGGAGTAGACAGGGAAGAGAAGCTAGTGAATTTAATATTGGGCATTTTGGTTTAAACTGCCTGTTATCAGCTAATGAGATCTGCTAAGCACTTGAAAATAAAACACTGGGGAAGGAGTGGGGGGGGTGATTACGTAAGGGGGTGAAGGCCAGATTTGAAAATTCTTGGCTTGCTCGCAATAGCTAAAACCAAGGTGGTGAATGAGGCAGCTTAGGGAATACTATGATTAGAAAAGAAAATGTTGGAGGCATCAGATGGAAGAATAGGGGATCATGATGAAAGCTGAGCAAGGGCTGGCAGAAATGCAGCCCCAGAAAAATAATTTAAATTCTGTTTTTAAAATCTAAAGTAGATGGTTTCAAGTCAGATGGGGTGAAAAAACAAATGAGATATTGGTGAAGGAACTTGAAATGTAAGGACTGAGAACAGTAAATTGGAATTTGCCATTAGTAATTATTATTATTATTTTTTTTGAGACAGGGTGTCACTCTGTTGCTTTGGCTGGAGTGCAGTAGCATGATCAGTAGGTCAATCACTGCAGCCTTCACCTCCTGAGCCTAAGTGATCCATCCACTGTAGACTCTCGAGTTGCTGAGACTATAGGTATGCACCACCACGCCCGGCTGATTTTTGTATTTTTTGTAGAGATGGAGTTTCACCATGTTGCTCAGGCTGGTCTTCACTCCTGAGCTCAAGCGATCTGCCTGCCAAGGCCTCCCAGAGTCCTGGGATAATAGGCGTAAGCCACCACGCCTGGCTAGTATTCTTCTCTAGGAGGAATATTTCAGTTATATAGAGTGGGCCCACCCTGACTGTAACAGTGTGAGTGTGTAAAGAGGAAAAATATAGTAGCATTGGGCACTTTTTAGTCTTTCAAGAAACTTGGTGACTAAAGCAAGAATAAGGTGAAGCAGTAACATCCGGGGAAGAGATCATTCAATGAATTTTCTTTAGGTGCCAGGATGCTTAAGAGAATGCATAATGGATCAGTGTCATTAAAATTACCATCCCCAAGAAAATGTTGCTGCATCAAAAATTTTACGATGTTCAAGATAAAATTATGCTTTCTTCAAAAATATCTGACATCAATAATGTCAAGTATAACAAAAGAATTCGTGAACTCATTTGGAAAGGGATATGAGTTTTTACTAAATTAAAGTGTACTGTAGGGGGAAAAAGACTGGGAAATCAGAGAAAGGTACAAAGCTCAGTACAGTATGTGAACTCCAATAGGTCACATAATAATAGAAAATACAAATTTACCTTCTGCCAGTCGCTGTTTCCACCCTTGCGCTGCATATGCAAAGAATTCATTATTTAGAGCTGAAGTACTGAGGCGTAAAATTCCATCACTTCCCATCTAGGAAAATAAGCCGACAAAAACAAGGTTCCATCAGGAATAACTCAAAGCAAAAGTATGCAGGAAAGAATAAAAAATTGAGTGGTGCTGGCTGGTGTATGTGTGAGGGGGAGGAGGGGAGAAGGAGACAGAGAAAGGAGAAGGGAGAGCAAGCAGGAGCTCCAGTGAGAGCATGTGCAGGGTAGGAGGGAGAGAGGAAAGCGACCCAACAAAAGATTGGTCTCCTGGGATGAATACTAGGAGATTAGATGTATGCATTCTGCTTGCTGATGTGTAGGAGACAGAAATAATTAGTGTTATCCTTGGCTGGCTTCTTATGTAGTTGGTGAGTGAATTTAAAACATATAACAAGTTAAACAATGTCAAGCATTAGGTGAGTGAGAATTAAGAAGTTCAAAATGTAAAAGCTCGGAGAATATATGTTTGTGGATATGAGAGTGTAGGAAGAACCTGATGTAGCCTCATGAGAGTCTAAGAGGATCTGGACAGAATGGTTAGAGATAAAAGCACAAGGTATACTGTCAACGAGCATGAGCATTACTGTAGAAGCAGAACATAACATAACTATCAGTAACTGGGGCATTTATGAAGGTGTGAAGATGCTTTCATCTGGTACTAAAAGGCCTGGTAAACTGTAAACCCAACTAGATCTTCAAAGATTTCCTCTTACTTCCACATATAGAATTCATATATCCCAAGCACTGATTATAATTACCTGAAAACACACTTACAGATTTCTTATCCTCATTTTTGTATTTGTTTTTGATCTTCTCTACACTCCGTTTTCACCTATTGAAATACTATCACTCTTTTAAAATTTAACTCAAATAATGCCTTCATGAATGTTTCAGTGGAATCATCATTCAGGAGCAAAGGAAAATACTGAACATAAAAAGCAAGTGTATTATCTTAAGGTGGATAATAGCTAATCAAAGCCAGCAAAGAGAGACACTGAGAACAAATGCAAGATACGCTGATTGTTGACACTGTGACATCTACATGGAGGCCACAGATTCGAGACCGTGAGGGTCTTCATTTAAGGTGGCACTGGTAACTACACTAAAATATTCACTACACTTGAAAATTTTCAGGCAACATTTCATTTATTCATTAATTTATTGTTTATTCATGCTCAAGTATTTCATCTTATTCAACAGAAACTTGTTAAGCCACTCATATGAACCTCTGTGCAGGGCACATGTATGGGTACTGGAAATTCACTGGCAATAAAGAAAAATACCCAGTATTTATATTCTGAATATATTCTACATAGAACAGATACTTTTGGTCCTTGTACACCCTTTTCACCCACCTGGGTTCAGCATGACTGATGTACAGTTACATCACCATGTCAATGTCCCACCTCACAGGTTTACCAAAGCTCTGATATATGAATGAATAAATGTCTCAGCTTCCCCATCCTTTGACTGGACAACTCTCGGACACTATCCTCTGCAGTGTGGTTTATGCACTCAACCAAATGGATGCTGTTTGGTGCTATGTTCCCAATGGCTAGAATACATGGATCTGGGAACTAAGGGATAGAATGAAAAAACCTTTGCACTATCATTCCCAAACAACCACTTGCAGACTGCATGCATTCTGTCCCCATAGCTCTAGCCTCTGTGGGATTAGAAGTCCAGGTTCCCAGCAGGGAATCACTTCTATTACAGCAGGGTTTCTCAAGATTGGCACTGTTGTCATTTGGGGCTAGATAATTCTTTTTAGTGGGGGCATGTCCTGTGTAATGTCGGATGTTTGGCACCATCCCTGGACTCTACCCAGTAGATCCCAGGAGCAATTCCCCATCAGATGTAACAACAAAAAACATCTCCAAACACTGCCAAATGTCCCGTGGGGGCAAAATCATCCCTAGTTGAGAACCACTGCACTAGTGGATAATGTAAGGGCCCCATTGTAGCCAAAGCTTTGTCTGGTTACTTTGTATTACTCATGCTCTTGGACCAGTAGGCAAAGAAAGGAGATAGGATAATCAATCAGCCCTAACCATCATGAGGAAATAAGACTGCTGCAACAGGGAAGGGATGAACAGAAGGGTGTTGGGAATGCCGGGGATTCCCTGGGACATCTCTTGGTGTTATTCGTGCCTGGTGATTGACATCCTGACAGGGCAAGACAACCAATGGCTCAAACTCCTCAGGGATGGTGGTCGGGGTCACTTCTAGAAGTGCTAAGAGTGAGAAAATCAGAAATGAGTATCAAAGGAGGGAGATGATGAGCTCCAACCACATCCTTAAAACCAGCTTGAGACTGGCACAGCCTATAGCTGATCCACTAACCCTCTGGTCATAAGTCTTGTTATTTTCATTTTTTTCTTCTTTCCAATATATTAGTATTATGACCAGTTACTTTTTAAAGAGTTAAAGACAGAGGGAGCTTAATACGAGGCACAAGATCTGAGTGGTACAAGAGGAAGTCTACACCAGACATTTCTGATACTCCACTTTATATCATCTTGGCTACATGAGTACAGAGTAAAGAGGGCAAACAGTTGAATCCACTACAGCTGAATCCACTTAGGTCCAACCTAAGCCTGTAACACTCTAAGACTTTCTCTGAAACAAAAAGAACTTCAAGTTCCCCTGCAGGTACAGCCTGGAGATGCAGAGTTTGTCCCTGGGTGCAACTCCCAATTTATTAGAGACAACAGACTGTAGAAAAATGCTTCATTCTCCTGCTGTCCTCCTGTGGAACAGTTTTGTGGCTCATTCTACACATTTTCTCCAATAAATGAGCCACAGTGGTCCAAAGGGCTTCTCTCCTCCCTGTCTCACCCTATTTAACACCTGGCTTTGGCTCTGAAACGACCTGTCCTCCAGTTCTTGTTCCAGTCCTGTTTCAGGAGGGAAAAGGTGAGGAGGTTCCTAAGTAAGACATCAAACCTAAAGAGCTTGGGCTTTATGCTTTACATGGGAGCAGCCCAGTAAATATACCATAGGCCCCAGGTTAGTCCAAGTTTCCCCCTCAGTTTACTCACGCATATTTATTACCTTTTTCAATGTAAGCCATGATGGTGGAAAGTTGTGAAGCGCCACTCTAGGCAATGGGAAACATCAAATTTTTGAAGCCAAGGAAAAAACCTAAAAGGTATGTGTTTAAAAAGATGACTTTGGTAGCTGTGTAACAGAAAAGAGAAGGAAAAATGAAACTGAGACATTGCTAGAAAGGGTATTGGAGTATTTCTGTAAAAGGCTATGAAAGAAAAACAAATCTGAGATATATTTATGACTGGATGAAGGTCTTCAGGATTAAGAAGGTAAAGTCATTGGGAGAACATTTCAGGAGACATCGAAGTTGCTCAGGATGATTCTGGGAGATGGGGTGGATGAAATGATGGCCAACCTTGAGTACAAGTCTTCGAGAAATGTTATAAAGGAGTTTTAGTAAAGCCAATAAGGGTGAGGACAAGATAGTCATATAAATGATATGCCTCTATGAAGTCTGAAATTTTTCTACAAATATTAACTTTGAATAGATGTCCTTGTGATTCCAGAGCCTTGAGAAAATGGCAACTCAATTTAGAAAGATTAAAAGGGAAAAGGTATTCATATTGTAAAGACAGATTTCAATTAAGACTAACAGGTGGAAGGCAAGTTCTCTGAAGAGGGAGAGAAAGTTACTCACTCTGGAGCACATGTATAGAAGGCACGGTGGATTAGAATTATTCTGCATTTGAGGACTTAGATTTTGCCTTATAAACTTCTATAGTCAGTGTAACATTTAGCATCTTGCAGAGAGTAAGTAAGTTTATTGTACTGCCCTTGCTTTGGGTAGTGAAGGATTTAAAATTTAACTCCAGTAGCTGACATACAGAAGTTGAGTTCCATATATCCTACGAAGCCAAGGGCATGGTGAGTAATTAAAATTTCAGCATAATTTTAAGATACAAATAAATACCAGATCCAGATTAGCTCTGACAGATTCTCCAGATCTCAGCACATGGAAATGCAAGGCAGTGTGACATAAACACACTCAAGAATATGAAAGCTAGCCCTGGAGGAAAATATTTTTATTTTAAAAGAGAAAAATAATTTTAACTGCCAGATCCCCAGGCTGTGACAGACAGTACAATTAAATATTAGTGCTGAATTTGATTTAGGAAATAAATGCCAATGAAATGTTTTAAATACACCATTAATTTTATGGGTTTTAAGAAATACTGTCTGAAAGATATATTTGAATGAACTGGAACGATAAACATTTCTGAAAGATTTATTCCTAAGCTATAATGTGTTTTCCTGATTACCCAAAATAGAAATGTTCATTCCCCAAATCACCTAACTCTCTTATAATGAAGTATCTAACTATTGATAAGTTATAGTTCCTATTTCATTAGCAGGAGAAAAATTCTGAACATAATCTTTGTTCCAAAGGAAAATAAACACTAAAAGAAAACTTACTCACATAGAGATCCTTTTACAAAGGTGTATACTCTTTCTTGGTAAGTATATCATGTGTCTTTGGTATGGATACTATTAACATACATTTTAAGGAATGGGTGCCAGCTCGAATTCAAAGGGTTAAATAAACTGTCCTCCTTGCGTATCATACAACGTTTGAAGAAGAATGCATGTTAATTTGGTGCAAGAATAGATTTACATTTGATAATAATCCTTTAAACCTCTACTTTCTAAACCACTGTTTTCTTATTTTGTGTTTCTTGCAAGTGATTCTAACTGCATGGTATGAGAGTTGCTGAGAACAGTGAGTTTTGGAGTTAGAAAGTGTCTAAATAATAATGGTGCACCGAGAAATACTAAGTAATCTGGACTTCATTCTACAGGCAACGAGGAGTCATTCAAAGTAAAGCCAAAACATGAAGAAAACATTCACATTGAGTATGTGCAGGTAAGATGATTGCTGCTCTACAGAGGGTAGCAGGATGAGCCTCTCTAATAGAATTAATGAGAGACATTTGAGCAGAAAGAAATGCAAAAGCAAGCCACACAGCCAGCTGGGAAAGAGTTAGCCAAGCGAAG